AAAGATCCACTGTATAGTCCAGTAGTGGTGCAGTCCAAATAGCAATACTGTGAGTGTATGTAGTAATGTCAGTTACAGGACGTCTGTCTGATTGATGAACGATGCTCTTGGTCAAGCCATGAAAGTGGGACAGTAAAACCAACGTCCACAGGAAAAGGCCTTGTCAGATTTATCCCGGGACATAAAGTGGGGTGGGACAGATGAGTCAGCTGTGTGTGCTGTCAAGTTCACCAGTACTCCAGTTTCTAGCACATTGGTGTGGCAAACACACACACACACACACACACACACACACACACACACACACACACACACACACACACACACACACACACACACACACACACACACACACACACACACACACACACACACACACACACACACACACACACACACACACACACACACACACAGTCCTGTCTTCTCTGAAGTAAAAAGTAAGAAGTCCTATCCTATCAGTGTGAAGGTCCTGCTGTCAGATTTAAGACAGTAATAATGGGATCTCACAGTGAGCCCTCAGAGAAAGTTTAACACTAGAGAGAGAGGACCACTGCTACTGTGGAATGAGAATAAACTTAGAGGAGAGGGTATTTTAAATGTGCCCTGCGGTCTGGTCTAACATTGCCATGCAGGGGGAGTCCTGATAAGACTGAGATGGTATGGACACACAGCTCACACCAACCATGCCTTTCAGCTAAGGCCAGCCACACAACTAGACACAGAGCACATGAGGAGACCAAGTAGAGATTGCTGCTTTACCGCCATATAAACTGTGGGCATAGAAACACGGTCATCCACTGATTCTACTGCACCTGCAAAAAAGGTCTCCTTTGTAAAACAGTGTTGGGTTGTAATGTTGTTAAGATGTTGTATTAGCCAAGCTTTCAGTTGCTTCTCCAGGATGGCCTTTCAGTCGCCACATGAGTAGATTACTGTTATTTACGCTTCACTTCATATGAACAACTCTCATTCATTCCACTGGACCGCGACCAAAAGAATGAAATGAAGTCTCAATACTTTGTCTAGAAACAGGTTTCCTCAACACTCTTGCCAGGACTCTGGAACAGAAAGGACCACTGTTTGGGGGGAAAAGGATGAAGAAGAAAATAAACTTCTCAAGGGTGACACAATGAATGCTTTTTATGGCCAGACTATTCTCCTCCCGAAGTCAGTCGGCATTCCAAAGGCTCTTTCTTAAGGCAGGGCATAAAAAACATGCCAAAGCACATTTGTGAGCTTCCTTGCTCTCCTTCCAGTCTTAATACCACATGCCAATCAGCCAGAATTACCATGGAAACAACAACATGGCAGACATGCTCAGAGACTCAGGGAGAATGGCTGATTCTGTTCCTGCCTACCTTTCTCTAATACCCTGTATTCACACAGGGGGAAGTGGTATGACCAACCAGCTAACCAGGGACATATGAGGACTCCCAATCAGACTAACCAGCTAACCGGGGACATATGAGGACTCCCAATCAGACTAATCAGCTAACCGGGGACATATGAGGACTCCAAATCAGACTAACCAGCTAACCGGGGACATATGAGGACTCCTAATCAGACAAACCATTTAAAGGTAAATAACACCCAAGCTAACCCTCAAGACTCCCCTTTGCTCACGGTTGCCAAATGGTCTGCATGCAGCCAGGATGTGTCTGTGCGAGAGAGAATGAGGCCTGGGGATGCATGTAGAGCAGCGGAACTAGGAGACATTGTGTGTCTGCATGTAAACAGCTGGAGAGTAAAGCAGCCGGAACGGGTGGAAGCGGCTGCTCCCTCCCTCCTGCAGTACCTTTACCGTCAGCACTTTGCCTTCCGACGTCCGCAACTATCTCACTCTCTCTTCCCTCCATTTATTTTCTAAAATTCCACATCCGATGATATCAGCTTAATCTGCTTTGAATTACCTTGGTTAAAAAGGATTGATAGAGCTTTCCGTTGTTGTCAAACAGAGGGAGAGGAAACACAGAAGAGGAAGGGGGCAGGGGAAGAGAAGAGATGGAGTGGGGATAGAGCCAGGAGGAGGAGAAAAAACCCCCGTGGGAACAGGAGTGAAATAGAGAAAGTCAATGGAGATGGCGAAGTGCCAAGGCAAGCAGTCAGCCAGCGGTACATGCATTCATTAGAGGACTACAGGCTTCATTTGGAGGCCTGGGGGTATTCTAATGTTGTTAACATCAGATACAGGGACTGATTACTTTCCACTTGATGATGAAAGACACAGGCCTCCAGACGGACATAAGGGAGAAAAGCAATGCATTAAAACATCCCTTTGATATGTGTGTGATTGTGGCAGCAATTCCATAATTGCTACATGCTTACACACGAATGTCCTATGCATGGCATATTCGAATGTGAGATATGGTGTCATTATCTGTATTAAGGTTAAACACTTTAAAAACACTAAGGGCACTAGAACAGTCTGCAGCACCCGGCCTCACCCTACTAGAATCTGAAGTCAAATGTCTACTATTTGCTGATGATCTGGTGCTTCTGTCACCAACCATGGAGGGCCTACAGCAGCACCTAGATCTTCTGCACAGATTCTGTCAGACCTGGGACCTGACAGTAAATCTCAGTAAGACAAAAATAATGGTGTTCCAAAAAAGGTCCAGTTGCCAGGACCACAAATACAAATTCCATCTAGACACCGTTGCCCTAGAGCACACAAAAAACTATACATACCTCGGCCTAAACATCAGCGCCACAGGTAACTTCCACAAAGCTGTGAACGATCTGAGAAACAAGGCAAGAAGGGCATTCTATGCCATCAAAAGGAACATACAATTTGACATACCAATTAGGATCTGGCTAAAAATACTTGAATCAGTTATAGAACCCATTGCCCTTTATGGTTGTGAGGTCTGGGGTCTGCTCACCAACCAATAATTCACAAAATGGGACAAAAAACGAATTGAGACCCAAATAATGCATGCAGAGCAGAATTAGGCCGATACCCGCTAATTATCAAAATCCAGAAAAGAGCCTTTAAATTCTATAACCACTTAAAAGGAAGCGATTCCCAAACCTTCCATAACAAAGATGAACTTGGAGAAGAGTCCCCTAAGTAAGCTGGTCCTGGGGCTCTGTTCACAAACACAAACAGACCCCACAGAGCCCCAAGACAACAACAACAACACAATTAGACCCAACCAAATCATGAGAAAACAAAAAGAGAATTACTTGACTCATTGGAAAGAATTAACAAAAAAAAATGAGCAAACTAGAATGCTATTTGGCTCTAAACAGAGAGTACACAGTGGCAGAATACCTGACCACTGTGACTGACCCAAACTTAAGGAAAGCTTTGACTATGTACTGACTCAGTGAGCATAGCCTTGCTATTGAGAAAGGCCGTCGTAGGCAGACCTGGCTCTCAAGAGAAGACAGGCTATGTGCACACTGCCCACAAAATGAGGTGGAAACTGAGCTGCACTTCCTAACCTCCTGCCAAATGTATGACCATATTAGAGACACATATTTCCCTCGGATTACAGAGATCCACAAAGAATTCGAAAAAAAACAAAACAATTTTGATAAACTCCCTTATCTACTGGGTGAAAAACCACAGTGTGCCATCACAGCAGCAAGATTTGTGACCTGTTGCCACAAGAAAAGGGCAACCAGTGAAGAACAAACACCATTGTAAATACAACCCATATTTATGTTTATTTATTTTCCCATTTGTACTTTAACTATTTGCACATTGTTACAACACTGTATATATACATACATAATATGACATTTGAAATGTCTTTATTCTTTTGGAACTTCTGAGTGTAATGTTTACTGTTAATATGTATTGTTTATTTCACTTTTGTTTACTATCTACTTCCCTTGCTTTGGCAATGTTAACATACGTTTCCCATGCTAATAAAGCCCTTACATTAAATTGAATTTAATTTAATTGAGAGAGGGGGGAAGAGAGAGAGAGAGAGAGAGAGAGAGAGAGAGAGAGACTGGGGAAAGAGAGAGAGCGAGACAGAGAGAGAGGTTGTCTAAATCCCCCTAAGCTATGTCTACACAAAATGGCACCAGGCAATGCACAACCATCAGCCAAAGCCAGCAGGTGTTACCAGAAACACTGTAAACACTGTCATACAGTTTATAACAGCAGCAAAGCCAATACCTGAGACAGGGCTGTTCCAGGGGAAGGGACAGGGCATGAAGCCGAGAGAGAGGTGGTTACTACTACTGCATCACCATCACCCCCTCCTGCTGCAGTCAGAGAGAGGACCAAGCCCAACACGGCACACAGCGGAACCAGCTGCATCAGCCACCAGAAGACAGTGATAAGTAGTGCTTGGACATGACTCAAGAAATATAAGCTTAGGCTGCACTGAGCCATATTTGGAATTGGTTGGCATAACTGACACTCCTGCAAACTCATTCTTCACAGGGATCAAATCTGCAATATGGCAAGCGTCACCCCCACCTTCGCCTGCCTGCCCACATACCAAGACAAGCACTAGATCAAATAAAGTGTAAGTAGCGATACTGTTTTGTGCTGCATGCAGATGAGAAAGTGGACTGTGCATACAGAGTATGGCAGTGGTATTCAAAGTCAGGGTCGCGGCCCCAAGTGGGGTCGCCATGGAACTGCAATGTGGTCGCCCCAAAAAATTGTAAATAATCATGGGACAATATACAAACGTTTTTGAGAAAGTTAATTTGAAAAATACATTTTATTGAGTAAATATATTTATTGGTTTCTTTTCATTTTGATAAGAGATTCAAATGCAATGAATTGAAGTTTATTTGTTGATGTAAAAATCTAAATCTACCGACTTTAAGAGAAATTCTTTGGGAAAAAATGGGGGACAAAATGGGGTCCCCACTGAAAACGTAGAAATACCACTGGTGTATGGCATAGAAAGATAACACAACAAGGTATTTGACATGAAAGTGACAAAGAGGCACAAACCTAGTATAATGTCTTATTTTGACAGCTGAGGCACTACCTAAGAAAATAATTTCCAAATGATAACTTCCTTTCAGAAGAACACTGAGTGCTTCTTACCTTTCATTCCAAACTTTGAACGTCGGCCATATTTGTTGATGAGAACAAACAGGACAACAAGAAGGACACATGCGAATCCAGCAAGGCCCACAGCAATAGACACCTGGAAGAGGACAAGACAGGGCTTAGTGAGAGTAAGTCTCACAATAAAGATATCTACCTCAAAAAAACTGAATAGCCAACAGTCATGAAGCCTAAATGCGGGGCTTGTGAAAACTTGATTAGTAGTGCAATGTATTACTGAAAATTGCCTCTATACATTTCCCACTGGCAATAACAAAGAGAAATCAAAAAGGAGAATCCCAAAATGAAGTTATAGTGAGAGAAAGACTCTCATACAGTATAATTAGGACCTCCAAACAATTGGAAGTCTTCTCCCCTCCCATGTCACTGCTCTCTTCCCCATTAAAACCTTAAAATGAGGAAATAATCTCTATACAGTCAATTACAGCACAAAGATGAGCAAAATTACATTTTTAAGAAGTTGTTAAACACAGTGGCCACAATGGAAAAGGCATATAGGAGAGAGCTACAAAGCGAGCGACTGAAAATGAAAAGAAATGGATTAAAATAGCTCAAACTAAAGCCTCTTTTTTGTTGGTGTTCCCAGGAAAAAGAAGAAGTTGATGTACTGTATACAGGCTGTATCTCCACTAGGTCTGAAAAAACACTTAGTACAGCACCACAGTGTTCTCAAACTCACCCCGAACGTGTCCTCCTCAGGCCTGTGTGTTACGGTGATGGTCGGTGTTGGAGTCCCTGTGATGAAGAGAAAATAAACACTATTTATGAAAGTACTGACTGAAAACCTACAGTTACATGTGCAGTATATCCTGAAACCTAATATGCAGTCTACACAATCATTCTGAACAACTAGCCATAGGCATAGAGATGAACATAAAGAGTAGTAATCCATGATGGGAGGGGAGAAGGGTGGGTATGTAACAGATCAAAGAATTACAGCACACACCCACATTTCTTGCAGCTAACTGATGTTATGGTTAATGCTTTGTAAACTGTGTAGAGTCAGTTGGGTTGTTGCCCTTCACAGGTCTGCTTCCATTTCTGATACAATGAGACCTTTTCAAGTCTCTCCTCATCTGTATCCACTTCTATGGAGACACTAATGCCCCTGGGTTGCCCTCCCATCATGCTCTCTGCTAACAGGCCGCGGTGCGAAGCAGTGTGGTGTAGCGGAACGGAACAGAAAAGAACAGAACAGCACTGGGTGTTTCTGACGAGCCCGTCTGTTCTGCCCACCCTCTTCCTTCCTACCACCAAGTGGACTCATCCAACATCATTTTGAGCCCTGACAGTAACAATCTGTCACTCTCTCCCTTACGCGTTCAGGATTTATAATGCGTGGAAAATCCCAATGAAGCTCTGGCGTGATGTCAATTTGAGGGCCTGGGGATGAAGGTCAGTGGCTGTGCTTGCCTCTACATTTACCTCCTAAATTAGAACAGATTAAAGACTAAATGAGCCTGTTGGTCCTCCAATGATAGAGGTGTCTAGCTGTAACCTTGAGTCTTACCCAGCTAATGTAGGCAGTATATGGTGGCAACAACTTTTTGGAATTAGGGTAGTGAATATCAGAAGATTAAATGACATCAAATGTAAGCTCCCATGACCTTTTTGTCACTCTGCTTATTAAATAGATGTCATGGTACTATTTATGTAATGGTGCTATTTACATATCTCATGGTACTATTTCTTGTTGACTGTCTGAAAAGAAGAATCACTTACCATAACCCCTAGAGTCGTTTTAATCACCATTTTATTCAGTTTAATCTGTGTGTTTGAGCTAGAGACTTCTGGGTTCTTGCATATCATGGTACTATTTATGTCATGGTACTATTTCTTGTTGACTGTCTTCTAAGTCACTTACCATAATCACCATAATCTGTGGGAAAAGAAGACAGAAAAGGAGTCATCAGTGGCGTGTTCAACCAATGTGTATATGTACAGGGCATGTTCAAAGAAGAACACCAAGTTTTTACTCTCCACTGTTAAAATAGAAAGACTCAAACCACTATCATTGTGTAGTAAAACCATGCCAAGTAGTGCACCTAAGCTGAGATCTGGAGGGTGTTTGAATGTAAACAAAATGAAGGTGTTATGATACACTGAACGTATTTAAAAACAGAATGGAAGTAGTCTGAAACAGCGAAAGTGGTTCTTCAATCTGAATCATTGTGTTTTTAAGAGAGTGTTGTGAAAACACTTTTTGGTGTTTCAGTATATATAAAAGGCAGCACCAAAACACACAAAAAATGTTTTGGCAGACTGTCTCTCATATAATCAAATGCTTTTAAATTGCATATGGTTAATAGCATAAATATTGATTGATTATAAATATTTATTGCATTTTCAGTGAATATTTTATTTAACACTTTAAGGAAGACACTGGGAATGTAATACTTTTCCTGAGGTAGAGTTTGGCACTAATTATTGGCCACAGTTGCCAGGCAACTTTGTGAGATTATAAATAATTTTACAATCAAAATATTTAGGGCTATGTAAGTTAAAGCAGAGGTAACATGTATAAAGTGGGCCTTCATCACTGGTATTCATGTGAGAAGGTGGATGTAAACCTGGGTCCCCTGCTTGTGAAAACACTGTCTTGGTCCACTCAGCCAGTCTTCAGTACTAAACTGTTGTGCTGAACCACCTTTGTTACACTGAGCACATGTGGCCCGATTCAGACATGAGATAAGTAGACTTAACATGGACTCAATACAACATTTACTACAGTCCATGTTTAATCCATTTATCTCAAGTCTACATAGGGAGAATGTTTTTTCGAGAAATTCTACCTTTATTTTTTCATACCTTCATATCGGAAGACAAATGTTTGGATTAAAGTAAAATGTGAACTTCAAACATTTTGCTGCTGTACTGTTCATAATTCATCCAGTCTGAAGCATGGAGGTGGAGAGAGGGCATTCCTGGCAGGTGTGCCCTCTAGCAAACTCTATGGTCAAATACTTAAAACCGGCAAGTTTACAGGCGCCTCCCCTGTATTCGGGTCCTTCACGAACTCAGACAGGTGAGAGCACATGCAAACGCTCAAATGAAACTCTCCAAAACAATCCAAGAAAGTATGTGTCAATGAAAATGTGAGAACACAATGGTAGAAGGAAGAAGAAGGAAAAGGAATTCACTCAATAAGAACTTTTGTTTTGTGTAGCATTTCAGCCACTAATGCTAATAGTCCAATTCAAACAGCCATTTTGATTCATTGTTCAGTTTTCTTCTTACTACACATACTGTAAGAGCAGGGAATATACAATAAGAGACTCCCATTTACAGTATTTGGAAACTCCAGAAGAAGGGATCTAGTTCTGCACTAAACAGGATTCGAAAAATCACCATAGTGTTTTCATCCTTTTCCAGGTTAGTGCTCCCGTCTCAGGCAAGGTGTTACACAACTCTTGATTATGTGGTGTTATAACACACCATGTCATGTTTCAGAACACCTCAGGATTAATGTTTCAGTACACCTTAAATCTGTCCCAATACCCTCACAACCATGTGTTTCAATACTCCAGCAAAGTTAAGGTTTTGTCTCCTTTAAGGTGCTGGCAGCTCAGTTACCATTAGTTTTAGTGTTACAAAGCACTTCATTTTAACAGTGTACTACTGGTCAGCAAATATATCTAAGTGTGTTTACTGGGTTTCCACACTTGAAAACAAGGATGGTCCAACTTGGGTTGTCATGGAGTTACAGTCAAACCTTAAAACTTATCCTGTCTCGTTACTGTGCTCCCCACTGCCTATGAACCTTAGCATCCATGTTTTGAATCCCATTATCAAGGACTCCCTTAAAATCTGGTCCCAATTCTGAAATCACTTTAGTCTTAAGCAAGCTAGTTGCTTCTCCCCGCTAATCATCTTTTCCCAGTGTCGCAAAACTGCATTCCAGTTCTGGCATAGGATGGTCTGGTATTTTTTAGTGACTTCCTAGTTGATAACACATTTGCCTCATTCATTTGCCTCAGCCCTTAACTGGGGTCGGGGTGTGCACCCCTTTGTGCCTGGACCAGGATTGAGGGGAACTGTTATAGGCCAAATGTTGTTGGAGCTGCTAACAGAGAACAACATTTCATCCTACATTCTTGTGAGCATTGCTGTTGTAATTACCATTGTATTACTATTGTTATTATTTATTGCTATTAATTCTTAATTTTGTATCTGTTATTGATTATTTGTTTTTTGTGCTGTCTTGGTATGATGCCTTGGTGGGATGGGTGGGGGATGAAGGACTGTTGTCTATGTTTTCAAATGAGAAAATCTACAAATAAATGATTTTTTTCTAAAGAACACAGAGTAACATTCCCAATGAGATCTTATCACCTCTAAATAAATCCCCTTTATTAATAGAGGTGTGACAGTGAGAGAGACTGTTTCTATATTCATCAGTGAACCCGTTAATAAGACCGTAACACTTAACAGTTTTAGTTCTGCTGCGCCGATCCACTGATCCATGCAATATCCTGTTGGACTAATGAAAGGTCACAGGCATAAAGCTACTATATACCTGTACCACTATATATAGCTACTATAGCTAGTCAAATATACCTACCATCTGAAAACGGGGCATTGAGGAAGTGTCCATACACCGTCTTGGTGGTGACTCCTAGGAAGTTGCTAGCCTCCAGAGTGTAGTTGCCGTTGTTGTGGTGCGTGGGGTCCTTAAAGTTAAGGCATCCCTCCAGGTAGTCCTGGTAGGTATCCATCTCAGTGCGGATGTAGTCACTGGGGGGGATCTCCTTGTCCCGGTGGAACCAGCGCAGGGTGGGCTGGGGGTTGCCGCGCACTGTGAACTCTATGCAGGTTTCATGGCGACGCTCGGGCTCGTCTAGCTTCAGGATGGTGGGGGGGACTGTTGGGAGGGAGGACAGACAGGGGGAGAGGAGTTTCCACGTATGTCAGAGATGTATTATTCAATGTGTCAGCATCATGACATGTGACACACACAATCTTCTAGTTACGCTCTGTACCAATGTTCAGGGGTCTGACTTGTTATTTCTTGTTTGTCTGTAGAGACTGAGTGGTTTGAAGGCCAGCAGTATAAACAGTGTTTCTTTTATCTTTGAAGCTCCTGCTAGGACGTGGCTGCTGACCACAGGAACATTGGGTTGTCTCCAGGCTTTTGGTTGAGTGGACACATCAACTCTGAAGGATGGCATCCAGAGGCAGTAAAAATATCACACCTCATAAATGCACCCACCATATACTGTAACTCCACATCCATGGTCGGTATGTTAAAAGATAGCTAACCATCTGAAATTACAGGGCTGTAAATGTGCCATACTGAGCTCACATAAAGCATCAATCATATTTTGATTCACTGTTAATTCGGCTAATATACACATTATGAGACCATGCCAATTTCCTCATTGTTAGTTAATGCAAGGTAAAACGAAGGGGGTCTCTGTGAAAACTGAGTGCTTGAGAGAGAGGGGGGAGAAAGAGAGAAAAAGACAGAGAGAGAGCGTAAGAGAGCTTAAGAGAGCGTAGGAGAGAGAGAGACTTGAGTTTGCGGATCTCTGGCAATCAATACTGTAGGTATTGGGTACGGGGAAAACAGTGTTACACCCCTGTTGCCAACACCCGTCAGTATGAATGTAAATGCAGGAGCAACAAAGAATTATCATATTACCCTGTAATGGTATCCAGCTGATGGAAACAGTGTGGTCTAATAAAGGAGGTTTTTGGTTGCTAAGGGAAAACAGACTGTAAGTCTGGGCCAGATAAATGTCCACCATACTAACAATCAAATGCTTTAGAAGAAAAAAAGAAAGAAGCGTTTGGGAGTTTAACTGAAAAGAATGACGGATCTTAAATGGTTCTTTCTCAGTTCCTAAGGTTTTTTGAAGAACTCTTGCCTGATAAAGAACCTTTGAGTTCTTCAGAATTCTAATAGGTTCTTGAAATGTATGGAAGCCTGCAGATGTCCCTTTAATATCACACAGAAAATTGGCCAGTGTTAACTAGTGATGATCTTTTTGTGTAACATTTCTAGTGTTGATTGAAGAGTTAAATCAACACTGTAAAGAGTTAAATTAACACTCAGTGGTGTAAAATAACCCCAGTGTTGGTGTTAATAACCAGAGTTGAACCAAAACCATGCTCATCAATTTCATATTTCCCAGCATTCTCTATTACAGGTTGATGTTTAGAATTGTTTGTTTCAATATCTATGTTTTTGCATGTACATTGATTGATTAATTCATCTTTTGCTACTGAAATATAAATAACGTAAATGTTTCTAAACTAATCCAATCATTTCATTTTAATGACAACATATTCACTTAATATCTCACTTGTTGAAGCAGGAGTGAAAATGAATGAATGCAACAACCATGTCTCTGTCTCTAGCAAACACAGTCATGGGTGGTACTGGTAACTCTAAAATTCACTCTAAAGACACCCTGGGAAATATGCAAATAAGGCTTAAAACCCTACAGCAGGGCTATTCAATTCCGGTCCTGGAGGGCCAAAACATTTCTGGTTTGGGATTTTTGTATGGTTCTTCAAAGAACCATCCCATTTATGGTTCTTCAGAGACCCTACAATGATTCCCTTATGGCATCGCTCTCAAGAACCTTATTTGGTTCCCATTTTTTTTAAAGAGTATTCTATGAAAACAGTGTTTTGTAATGATCATAGGAACATCATGCCAACACAAAGTGTTGAACTATAGTGGAGCGAAAATCAAACTGACAGCAATTATTTCCTGGCTTGACTGTCAGTTAGTCTAACTAATCACCACAGCTGTTGACTCTCTGTTTTAAGGCATTTCCAACAGACAAGCCAAGTGGCTGTTGGGATGATTGGCAATTACCAAGAAAACCAAAAGACCATGTGGTTTCATAAAGAACATCACAAACAAAAACAAATGGCTTTGCAGTGCTGCACCAGTGCACCGCCACTGAATAACTAGCAGGACCTTCCAGATGTTTCCCAACGGACAGGGTCAGAGCTCCCCTCTCCTCGCTCTGCTGGAAAGCAATCACACACATTATGTGATGAAACATTCTTTAAATCTCTGTCATCTTTCACGGAAAGGACCACTGCCTTCTCATCGATGAACTATCCACATTCAAGGAAACAACCCCCCAGCTCGCAGGGATCAATATTCAACACAATGACCTCTCGGCGCTGACAGAATGTAGAGGATAGAACGCATGACAATACTGATAGAATGGATAAGTGTAGGCTTAGTTATATACAGTGGCTTGTGATAGTATTCACCTCACTTGGCATTTTTCCTATTTTGTTGCCTTACAACCTGGAATTAAAATAGATTTTTTGGGGGGTTGTATCATTTGATTTACACAACGTGCCTACCACTTTGAAGAACATGCCTACCACAAACAAGAAATTACAAAAAAACTGAAAACTTGAGCGTGCATAACTATTCACCCCCCCCCCCCCCCCCCCCCCCCCCCCCCCCCATTCAAGAATTTCCCTGTATTTAGCGGCATCCATCATTCCTTCAATTCTGACCAGTTTCCCAGTCCCAGCTGATGAAAAACATCCCCACAGCATGATGCTGCCACCACCATGCTTCACTGTGGGGATGGTGTTCTCGGGGTGATGAGAGGTGTTGGGTTTGCGCCAGACATAGCGTTTTCCTTGATGGCCATAAAGCTCAATTTTAGTCTCATCTGACCAGAGTACCTTCTTCCATATGTTTGGGGAGTCTCCCACATGCCTTTTGGCGAACACCAAACGTGTTTGCTTATTTTTTTCTTTAAGCAATGGCTTTTTTCTGGCCACTCTTCCATAAAGCCTAGCTCTGTGGAGTGTACGGCTTAAAGTGGTCCTATGGACAGATACTCCAATCTCCACTGTGGAGCTTTGCAGCTCCTTCAGGGTTATCTTTGGTCTCTTTGTTGCCTCTCTGATTAATGCCCTCCTTGCCTGGTCTGTGAGTTTGGGTGGGTGGCCCTCTCTTGGCAGGTTTGTTGTTGTGCCATATTCTTTCAATTTTTTAATATTGGATTTAATGGTGCTCCGTGGGATGTTCAAAGTTTCAGATATTTTTTTATAACCCAACCCTGATCTGTACTTCTCCACAACTTTGTCCCTGACCTGTTTGGAGAGCTCCTTGGTCTTCATGGTGTCACTTGCTCGGTGGTGCCCCTTGCTAAGTGGTGTTGCAGACTCTGGGGCCTTTCAGAACAGGTGTATATATACTGAGATCATATGACAGATCATGTGACACTTAGATTGCACACAGGTGGACTTTATTTAACTAATTATGTGACTTCTGAAGGTAATTGGTTGCACTTGATCTTATTTAGGAGCTTCATAGCAAAGGGGGTGAATACATATGCACACACCACTTTTCCGTTATTTATTTTTTTAGCATTTTCTTAAACAAGTTAATTTTTTCATTTTGGACTATTTTGTGTATGTCCATTACATGAAATCCAAATAAAAATCCATTTAAATTACAGGTTGTAATGCAACAAAATAGGAAAAACGCCAAGGGGGATGAATACTTTTGCAAGGCACTGTAATGGATAGGGTAGAATAGATAGGAGTAGTAATAGAATGGTGAGAATATAATAGATAGGCGTACTGATTGAATGGATAGGAGTAGTTATAGAATGGATAGGAGTACTTATAGAATGGATAGGAGTAGTTATAGAATGGATGGGAGTAATTATAGAATAGATAGGAGTACTTATAGAATGGATAGGAGTAGTTATTGAATGGATAGGCTAGAATGGACAGAATAGCATGGATAGGAGTAATTATAGAATAGATAGGAGTACTTATAGAATGGATAGGAGTAGTTATAGAATGAATAGGAGTAGTTATAATCTATAAGAGGGAGTTTAAGTTCAGTAGTCAGGCATCATCATGCAAGGGAGGTTGCTTGTTCCTTAATGAGGCATTTTACACATATATAATCCCACTAGTCTACATTATAGGAGAATGTCCATGTAAATGTAAATTATATGCATATAAAGAATGCATGGCAGCATTTACATAAAATAAAAGACAATTAAACAACTAATTAAAAGGGAAATCTGCAGTAGCTACATCCAATTATTTACCTATAAATTAATCATATATACCCATTAATTCTTGTAGAATATAACTTATAAATGCCTCATGAGCTTAGTTCAACTATAGTACCCCTATCAGAACCCTAAATATAAGCTTGTTTTACTCCAATGTTTGTAAACAAAGTCAATGTAAGCAAACACTATATAGCCTCAAAACATGGTTAAAACATTCATTTTTATATCATGGATGGTCAGTCCTTGCATCCTATGCTCTGTCTACGAATTTGAGAGTGGTTACATTTCTCCAGCCCCATCCCTCAGCTTTTTACTGAAACGGGTGGGAGGACGCTTTGTTATTGTTTCAGCTGCAGATTGCCGCTTTAACTGCATTTAAAATCTAAGTAGTGTTGTAACAAGGTGCCTGACCTCTGCAGCATTCATGGGCTGGCTGTGAGCTGAATATTGGTGTTATCTGTTGGTACATTGGCCTCTGAGCTGAATATTGAGCTGAATACTGTCATCAAACAGCAAACACTTGAGAGTGTTTGTGCTCTGCAATTTGATGAATACAACTTTGAACTTGAACTAGTTATTGGTAGCTACGTACAATGGACAGTGAGCTGAATGGAGGCGTTGGCCATCCCCACTTTGTTCTCTGCTATACAGGTCAGCATGTAGAAGTTGTCATCACGGCTCACGTTGACCAGGGTCAGGTTGATGGAGTGGACATTGGGCCAGTACACGTTGGACTGGACAGAGCAGGAGAGAAAGAGAAGTGAGTGATACTGTAGGATAAATATAGTGTATAGTGGCAGACAATTCTTACTCAGGATTTCAGATATAATTCTCTGTATAAAGCAGTTTAACTACATTTTAAGAGTTTCAGAAAGCTGTGAAATCACAAGCACACAAACACAGTTGGTGTCAGTTCCATTTAATTTCCTCAATTGGACATAGAATTTATCTTCATAGCACAACAACAGAATTCCAGAATTGCCTGGAATCTAAGTAAAATGGACCCCAAAGTTGTACTGTAGCTAACACAAACTCCAAGGTCACAAGCCAAGTTGTTTCCTGCAGCTACCTAGACACAAAGCACAATAGTACGACCATTACAACGAAGAATAGCTCAGTGCTTTGTGGGTCCCTTTGTGTTTGTCCTGGCTAACCCACCTGGTGAGTATTGATGGAGTGGAGGTCATTGACGGTCCAGTCCACCTCAGGGAGGGGGGATCCAGATCCATTACAGGTGACGGTGACTCTGTCCCCCTCAATCACTGTGAGATTATAGTGGGTCACACTGATGTCCGGCAAGTCTGGTGGGGCGAGGCAGAGAGGCAGAGAGGGAGGCAGAGAGAGAGAGAGAGAGAGAGAGAGAGAGAGAGAGAGAGAGAAAGAGAGAGAGAGAGAGAGAGAATACAATAGCAGCTAGACACAGCACACTTGAAATTCTGACTGAGACACTTTGAGCTATTGTGAATTCTATTTGGGAGAGGGAAAGGAAGGAATAAGCAGAGTTTCAGAACAGTGAGTTGTCATCACTCTTTTTGGCCGGCTCTCATGAGATAAGTTACATCAGGCGTTTAGGTCATTCTTATGACAGTGATGTGTATAGCCTAAACACTAGGCACAGACGCAATTTAAATGTCTACTTTTGATTTATATTTGGTTGAGTTGTCAACTAACGTGAATTCAACGTTAGTTGACAATCCATGTCAATGGATTTAGGTTAAAAGGGGTGAAAAAAACTTTTTGCAAATCCAATCAGTTTTCCACATTGATTCAACAACATCAGATATATATTTTTTGTAGGGCTGTCAAAAATAGCGCGTTAACGACGTTAATTAGTTGTTTGCTGTTAATTACGTCAATTTTTTTAACGCATTTCACGCATGCGCAGTGTGACAAATTATTCAGGTCAGGAAAGTGGTTGGGAGCTAGAGGCGAGATGGAGCAAGGTGAGCAAAGTGGGCCTATTGACGGATTCAAATATAAAAAGAATGATGATGGTACAGTTAACAAGTACAAGGTTATTTGCAAGATTTGTAAGAAGGAGTTTCAATTTCACCGGAGCTGTTCAAGCTTGAAGTACCATGTCAACGCCAAACATGCGTTTGCTGGGCCGTCAGATTCAGCAAGTGGTTTGCGCCAGACCACGCTGAATGTTTGCAGGCAATTAACAAAATCAACCTCAGATAATTTGACCAACACAATAGCAAAATGGATTGCAAAGGATTGTAGACCCATTAGCATTGTAGAAGACTCAGGTTTCCTTGATGTTTTGCAAGTGGCGTCTCAAGACTCATTCTATAAGCCACCGTCAAGAGCCACAGCCAAAGACAAATATTATGGTGTGTAGTATGTTTCAGCTTGATTTAAAACACCATTATTTGGCTGTGTTAATAAACAGACATAATATGAAAATTATGTATCTGTGTCCTGTTATTTATCTTTTGGTATGCATTTCAGAAAAAAAAAATGGTTAGGATTCAGGTGTAATTGCAAATAGTGATTAATCATGATTAATCCACTGAAAATTCTGATTAATTTGATTAAAAATTTTAATCATTTGACAGCCCTAATTTTTTGTTGAAATGATGTGGAAACAATGTTGATTCAACCATTTTTTTCAACCATGGGATGATTGAGGAGTGTAGAGGGGGGATCATGGCGGTGGTGGCTCGTACCACAGAGGGAGATATTCATAGTCTGCAGAGGGATCTTGGAGGCTCCGTTGTTGCAGAATAACTGCTGGGTGTGCAGGCCAGCCTCCCCTCGCTGCTGCCACAGCTGAATCCAGCGGATATCACAGCCACACTCAAACACCACTTCCTCCAGCCTCCTGTTAGAGAGAGAGCGAGAGAGAGAATAAGAGAGAGAAAATATAAAATATATGTTGAGAAACAACACAATGCAACTGTGGTCATTTATAGTACAGTCAGAAGTAGGTGAAGGACATTTTTATCGTCCAGCCCAGCCTCAAATATTAATCACATCATGCCTGGGGAGGAACTGGAGACATTCCATCTCATCTCCAGGTCAGGCTGGGCTAACCGTACCGTGTGACTGGGGCTGGGAGCGGGTGAACATGTGTGTAGGCTGTTTTGCTCTACGACGCCCACAAGCCTCACGAGACACATCTGAAGGTAAACCGGTATTAGGAGGAAAACATTTATGGAAGTGAATTGGGCATTTCCATGTCAAAGGTCATTCCCGGTAAAAAAAAAGTGTTGTTATTTTTCCTGAGCTTTCTTATATCTCATAGATATAGGACAGACAATTGAAAACATACTTCCTTTGATTTATTTTTGCCATGTATGCATTTCTATGGGCTAATATCAGTAAGGCCAAATTCAATGTTTCATCAAATCATTTGTCAATAACAAAATATATACCTACAGAGGTCCTAAAATTCAGAATCAATTATCTTAATGATCCATGTGTCACGCCCTGGCTCTGGGGACTCTTTAATGTTGAGCCAGGGTGTTAGTTTCTATGTTGTAGTTTCTATGTGTTTATTCTAGATCGTTTAGATCTATGTTGGCCAGGGTGGTTCCCGATCAGAGGCAGCTGTTGCTCGTTGTCTCTGATTGGGAACCATACATAGGCAGCCTGTTTTGCACAGTTATTTGTGGGATCTTGTTCTGTATAGGTTTGTGTTGGTGAACCTTTAGACTTCACATATCGTTTTGTTGTTTTGTTATTGTGTAAGGTACTCATTAAAAGATGTACGCCTATCACGCTGCGCCTTGGTCCGGTTCCTATAACGATCGTGACACCATGGTATGACCATCTTCAAACAATTCCATATGCAGTGTTGGGGAGTAGTGAACTACATTTAGTTCAACTACTAATTTAACAACATTTTGCAGTAGCTTGGTGGTAGTTGAACAAAATTCTAATCTAGATAGTGTTTTCAGTAGTTAATTACTTTTTTTTTGCCATGTAGCGGAGTATCTAACTACTGGAAGTACACATTACTTTTTTTTGCACCAAGTATATATATACACGTCTGTGAAGTAGGCAAGAATTACCTTAATTTTTTTTAAATCAGACCTGCCTAATTCTTACTTGAAACATCGTTTTTGTGTTTATTTTTTATTTTTTGGTATTTAACCTTGATATGAACAGGGAAGACATATTGAGACCTAGGTCTCGTTTTCAAATGTGCCATGTAACATACAACATAAATATACACATTATACACTATATATATATATATATATATATATATATATATATATATATATATATATATATATATATATATACATTAAAATACAAAAAAACACAATCATGGGAAGCACAAATAAAACACCACAAATCACCCAGAAAAACTGTTACATTCCTCCACAAATAAATCCCCAATCAATACTTTAAATTACCCAAACAGCACCAGAACATCAAGATAAAATGTATTTTGAATTTTGTTCCAGCAATTCAGTGCATTAAAACCAAAAGCAGATTGACTTAGCTCATAGGAACCTCAAGAGCTACCCAATCCTGTGAACGGGTTAGGCAACTCAGCTGTTTATACTTCAACAGCAAAGTTAGATAAGACGGAAGTTTATGAAGTAGTGCCTTATAAACAAAAAGGGAGTAATGTAAAGATCTACGGGTCTTTAGCGAAGTCCAGCCAACCTTTTGATACAGGATGCAGTGATGAGTATCAAAACTGTGACCTGTGACAAAACAAAGGGCACTATGGTAGATGGCATCCAAAGGTTTAAGAGTAGTAGCAGCTGCACTTTGATAAATAATATCAACATAATCAAGAACAGATAAAAAGGTTGACTGAATAACCTGATTCCTACTGCTTAGAGAAAGGCACGATCTGTTTCTGTAGAAAAAGCCAACTTTAAATCTTAGCTTCTTAACCAGCTTAAATGTAAAATCCATATCAATCCAAATGCCTAAGTATTTATATGCTGGAACACGTTTGATTGGAGAACCATCTAATGAGTGAACATGTAGTTCATCTGAAACATTCTTACGAGAGTTTTAAAACAACATGTATTTTGTTTTGCCCGTATTAAGCACAAGTTTTGAATCAGCAAGGGATTCCTGCATAGCTATAATATCTGACTGTAGTTTTGACACAGCCAGATCAACAGTCGGGGCAGTAGCATAAATAATAGTATCATCCGCATATAGATGAAGTTTACAGTTTTTAACCTTTATGTACTTCAAGAAATTCTGACTTAACCCCAACAATTACAATGGCATGAGTTCTGTCACTACGATAATCATGAAACCATCAGAGCTCAGGCCTATCGAGGACAACTTATTCAATAAAATAGAATTATCAATGCCCTTATGGAGTGGCAGCACGAGCTGATTTCCATACTTTTTGAATATTTCCTGATAACAATGTTAAATAAAAAATGTTGGTAATTGAGCCAACAATGATGGGTGCTGCACACTTAAGCAGACCAGGATCCAATTGGTCGGCCCCTGTGGATTTCTTGTTGTCTATTGCTAGCAAAGCATCTTGGACTTTCTGTAGATAGCCTAAAAGAAAAGCTTTGACTATAATTTCTCTGATCATTCAGCAAGTTTCCCCTATCAGCATCCATCCCAATATCATTGTGAATAGGCTTAGAAGTTCTTTCAAAGAGATAACCCGCTGAAATAAAATGGTGAATAAATGCATCAATGAGGCCAGTGTCTGAATTAATTTGTTGTGGCAGAGAGGAGGAAGTAGAACCCTTCAAGGATTTGACAGTTTTCCAGAATTTAGCCGGGTTCCCATTACAATCCGAAAGAGTGGTTACATAATAATCAGATTTAGCCTTTCTGATTTGTCTTACACAATGATTCCTCAGTTGCTTAAAAGCTTGCCAGTCCGGGCCTAAGCCTGTGTTCCTGGCCTTGACCCAAGCATCATCTATTTTATGAATGACTTCTGATAATTCCGGAGTGTACCAGGCATTCAATCTACCTTTAACCCTTACTTTTTTTAAGGGAGCATGATTATCCACAATCGTATTGAAGACATCTGCAAAAAGGCTAGATAAATCAGGTTCATGGATAGCTGAAATACAACTAAGGTCACTAAAATAAAGATCATGTAAAAAAGCCTGCTCACTGAAGTTTTTAAAGTTCCTCTCTGTGATGACACAAGACTTAGATTTCTGTATTCTCACATCTCTAACATGAAGAACTGGGCAATGGTCACTAATGTATTGGTCGAAGACACCAGTAGAAACATATTTCTCTGGTGTATTCGTTAAAATAAGATCAATCAGAGTTGACTTGAAAGGTTCTTTAGGGTTGGGCCGTGTAGGGTTAGTCACCAGCTGGGTTAGGTTTAG